CCTTCCCGCTAACACCCAGTTAGCCTCTAGGATTCCCCTCAGGAGACCCTGTGGACTCCCAGAATCCTTAGGGCGCCCCTTAATCACTAACTTAACCTCATTTATTATAATTATCTATCATTTTATTTACATTACTTCCCTTTGCAAAGAGACCTCTTAAGAGCAGAGGTCCTAATAATATCTTATTTGTTTGCTGATTCTCAGCATCTTGCCCAGAACAGGCCTTCAACTAACGTTTGGAGAACTGTCACTGAATGAATGAACACAGTAACTTGTAAAGAGCAGGTGCAGAGAATGTGATCAGCGTGGGGAACTATGATGGTTCAGAATGGCCAGAGGGCATGGCAGATTTGGGGAAGCACCAGAAAGCGTCTGATCTGCCCAGCGAAAGAGCCTGGACTTTATCCTGAGGCGTTGGGGATGTTCCGGGGGTGCACACAGGATCACCCCTGCCTTCCGCACAGCTGGAGGCAAAGGGCCCAGCGAGGGGCGTCTCTGGGAAGGTATGTGGGCCTAAATCAAAACTGCACCTGAGAGATGGAGAAGGGGGAAGAGGAACTGCTGCCCAACGGAAGGGACTGAAGGCAGGTGTGCAGAGGAGTGGGGAGCCTGGGCTGTGCTGAGTTTCAGTGACTGGGGAGACAGCAGACCCTGACAGAGGACGGGTTTTCCATGCTGCAGACGAGGTGGTGGACTTTGAGATGCTGGGTGGGCAGCTGGCTGGCTGAGATGCTGGCGAGGTCTGGGACTCAGAAGGGAAGTCTGAGCCTCAGGTAGTTGAGACCTAGAGTGTGGACAAAGGAGGATGAAGAGAAGATGCAGAGTGAGGAGGGGAGAGAGGGAAGGAGGAGGAGGAGGAGGAGGAGGAAGAGGAGGCAGCTGGAGCGTGTAACAGCCTGACAGGTTCATCTTGCCTGCTGTCCAGAAAACCAACACGCTGAAAACAGCAGGTTTTGCAGCAAAGAAAGAATTCAATTGGCCAGTCAAGTGAATGGAGGGAAGGTAATTCCCAAATCTCCCTCTGACTGCAGTGAGCCATGATTGCACCACTGCACTCCAGCCTGGGTGACAGAGCATGAACCTATCTCAAAAAAAAAAAAAAAAAAAAAAAAAAATCCTGCACCTCCAAGAATATTAGCAAATTGAATCCAATGATGTATTTGAATAATTATACGGCATGATCAAATAGGAGTTAAGTATGCAAGGCTGGTTTAACATTAGAAAATCAATTAATGTAACCTATCACATCAACAGGCTAAAGAAGAAAAGTCGCACGATTCACACGATCATATTAATAGACACAGAAAAAGCATTTGACCAAATCCAATGCTTGTTCATGATAAAAGCTCTAAGTAAACTAGGAAGAGAGGTGACTTCTTCAGTTTGATAAAGAACATCTACAAAAAACATACAGCTGCCATCACACTTGGCAGTGAGAAACTACACGCTTTCCCCTAAGACTGGGAACGTGGCAAGATGTCCCTTCTTTCCACTCTCACTTAACATCATACTAGAAGTTCTACCTGATGAAATAAGACAAGAAAAGGAAATAAAAAGATATATATTTTGGAAAGGAAGAAATAAAATCACCTTGGTTGCAGATGACTGACTGTCTATGTAGAAAATCTCAAAGAATCTATTAAAAAAAAAATCCTGGAACGAAGAAGTCATTGTAGCAAGATTGCCATAAGTAAGGGTAATATACAGAAGTCAAATGCTTTCCCACATACGAGCAATAAGCAATGGAAAACTGAAGTTAAGAATGTGAGATCATTTATATTAACGCAAAAATGGAGATACCTGGGTATAAATCTTACGAAATATGTGTAAGATCTATATTAGGAGAAATAGAAAACTCTGATAAAATCAAGAACTAAACAAATAGTTATCTCATGAACATGAATAGGAAGAATCAATATTGTTAAGATGTCAGTTCTTCCCAACTGGATCTACAGATTGAATGCAATTGCAATACAGAAATCCCAGCACCAGGATGGCGGTCACGGAAGCTGGAATCCACTAAGGAGTGTGTAACGACTCACCTGCCGGAAAAAAAAAAAAAAAAAAAAAAAAAAAAGAAGAAATCCCAGCAAATTACTGTATGGATACTGACAAAATGATTCTCAAGTTTATGTGGAGATGCAGAAGATCCAGAATATCCAACATAGTATTAAAGAAGAACAAAGGTGGAAAACTGACACCACCTGACCTTTAGACTCACTATAAAATGATAGTAATTAAGACTATCATTTAGTGTGGTGTTGGTGAAGAAACAGACAAATGAATCAATGAAACCAAATGAAGAACCCAGAAAGAGACCCATAGAAAGAGAGTCAACTGATCCTTGACAAAGAAACAAAGGCAATAGTGCTGGAACAATGGATATCCACATGTAAAAAAGTGAATCTAGACGCAGACCTTATGCCTGTCACAAATATTAACTCAAAATGGATTATATACCTAAATGTAACACAGGAGAAAATCTAGCTGACCTTGGGTTTGGCTATGAGTTTTCATATATAATACCAAAAGCATGCATGATACATGAAAGAAAAAAACTGATAAATTCAACCTCATTAAAATTATAAACTTCTACTCTGTGAAAGATACTGTTAAGAAAATAAAAAGAGGCTGGGCGCGGTGGCTCACGCCTGCAATCCCAGCACTTTGGGAGGCTGAGGTGGGTAGATCACCTGAGGTCAGGAGTTCAAGACCAGCCTGGCCAACATGGCGAAACCCCTTCTCTACTAAAAATACAAAAATTAGCTGGGCGTGGTGGCAGGCACCTGTAGTCCCAGATACTCAGAAGGCTGAGGCAGGAGAATAGCTTGAACCTGGAAGGTGGAGGTTGCAGTGAGCTGAGATCGCACCATTGCACTCCAGCCTGGATGACAAGAGTGAAACTCCATTGTCTGGGGGTGGGGGCAAAAGCTCTGAACAAATTCCTCAACAAAAAAGAAATATGGATGGTAAAGAGACACATGAAAAGATGTTCAGCATCACATACCCCTAGAAAATTGCAAATTAAAACAAAAATGAGATGTCATTACATGCCTATTAGAACGCCTAGAATCCAAAACATTGACAACATCAAATGACGGCAAGAATGTGAAGCAACAGGCATTTACATTTACTGCTGGTGGGAACGCAAGAGGGAAAAGCCACTTTGTGAGACAACTGGGTCATCTTTTCAAAGGTAAACACAGTCTTGCCATATGACCCAGTAATCATATTTACCCAAATAAGCTGAACACTATGTCCGCACAAAAACCTGCACATGAAATGTTCATAGTTTTTCTCATAATTATCAAAAATCAGAAAAAAAAAAGATGTACTTCAGCAGGTGAACAGATAACCCGGTACACTCATACCAGGGAATATTATTCAGTGATGAAAAGAAATGAGCTATGAAGCCATGAAAAGGCACGAAAGAAACCTAAATGTGTGTTGCTAAGTGAAGAAGCCAGTCTGAAAAGGCTACAAACTATGTAATTGCAAACTGTATCATCTGGAAAAGGCAAAATTACAGAGAAGTAAAAGGTATCGGTGGTTGTGAATACCTTCTAAATGAAAAATGTCAGTGGTTTCCAGGGGCTGGCGGGGAGGAGGAATGAACAGTAAAGCCTCAGGGATTTTTAGGGAAGTGAAAGTGTTCCGTGTACTTTAATGGTGGATACATAGCATTACACGTTTAGCAAAACTTGTAGACCTGTAGAACCTAAAGCAATGAATGCCGGCCAGGTGTGGTGACTCACAGCTGTGATGTCAGCACTCTAGGAAGCCAAGGTGGGAGGACCACTTGAGGCCAGGAGCTTGAGATCAGCCTGGTACCATGGCAACACCGCATCTCTACAAAAATTTTTTTTTAATTAGCCAGGCATGGTAGCATGTGCCTGTGTTCCCAGCTACTCAGGAGACTGAGCTGGGAGGACTGCTTGAGTCCAGGGGTTCCAGGCCGCAGTGAGCAATGATCACGCCACTGCACTCCAGCCTGGGTGACCAAATGAGACCCTGTCTCAAAACAACAACAACAAATGAACCTGAATGTAAACTATAAACTTTAGGTAGTAAGAACATATCAATATAGCTGTATCAATGATAACAAATGTACCACGCCAATGCCATGTGGAAGATGTTAACAACAGACAAAACGGGAATATGGAAGGTATAAAGGAACTGTTTTCTGTTCAATGCTTCCATAAATCTGCTTTAAGTCTATTAATTTTTTTTAAAAAGTAAAGGCTAGGCGGGGAACGGTAGCTCATGCCTGTAATCGCAGGACTTTGGGAGGCCCAGGTGGACGGATCACCTGAGGTCAGCAGTTCGAGACCAGCCTGGCCATCTCTACTGAAAATACAAAAATTAGCCAGGCGTGGTGGAGGGCGCCTGTAATCCTAGCTACTCGAGGGCCCGAGGCAGGAGAATCGCTTGAACCCGGGAGGCAGAGGTAGCAGTGAGCGGAGATCGCGCCACTGCACTCCAGCCTGGGCGATAGAGTGAGACTCCGTCTCAAAAAAAGAAAAAAGGAAGGCTGGAGCTGCATGGAAAGAACTCTTGGCCCAGGCAGGACTTGGAGCCAGGGAGCACAGGGAGTGGGAAGAGTGGCAGCCACGCAGGCTCCTGGGAGGAGGCAGGCTCCCAAGGGCTGCCGAGCGCACAGGTGACGGGACCGGTGGGGAAAGACAGGCGCCTGGCGCCATCGTCGGCCGCTTTCTTCCACGGCTTTCCTTCCTCTCTCCTTCTCTTTCTGCGTTTACTGTGTTCTTTTCGAGTGTTCTCAACAACAGGCTGGGGGCCTGGGGGTGTGGCGCCCCGAAGCCTGCCGGCACCTACGCAGGGACGGCTTTGGGATGGGGCCGCGGTGCGGATCTGGTTCCCGGGCCGGAGTCTGCGGCCCGAGCGGAGCCCCCTCCGGCGAGCCCTCAGTCTCGCGGGGGCAGAGGCAGCGCGCCCGGGCTCTCCCGGCTCCGGCCCGGCCCTTCCGCCCTCCGCGCACTTACCGCCGTCTCTCTGCACCTCTCCCGGCCGCGGCTAGGCCACTTCTTCCGGACGCCGGCACGCGCTGCCCCGGCAACCGTCACCAGGGAAACCAGCGTTGTCACTCGCGCGACGTCAGCGCGTCTACGTCAACGCGTCTTACGTCAACGCGTCTCTACGGGGGCCGAGGGGCGCCAAGCGTGGTGAAGGTGACAGAGGCGCCGACGGCGCGCGGGCCTGGGTCCCAGTGGGCAGCATCCCGAGCGCGCTGGACATTTTTACAAAGCGTTGCGGACCAAACGTTCTGCACGGAGATGTGCGTTCCGCTGTCCTGCTGGGGAGTTAAAAAGCGAACGATCGCACCACGAAACTGACGGGAGGTGTTCGGGCACCTCGGGAGGAAGGCCGCGCCCCGACGCCGAGTGAAGGAGGCGGGACGCAGTGCCGCGGAGTGGAGCCGTGAAGTCGTGCTTATCTCCAGCCGGGCACCCAAGCAAGACCGAAGCGGAAACCTTGACGGTGGTTCTGCTTGCGCGGTGGAACAGCAGTGCTGCGTTTTCATTTTTACGCTTTGGAGGATTTTAAAAATAACGAACATCGTTTATTTTCATAGAGGAAAACACTTGTATCTATTTTTTTAATGGCGCCTCCCCATTTAAGACACTACTACATTTCAGGGCTATATGGCGGTGGGAGGCACATTTCTAGGAAAGATGATTCAAGGGCGTTTTCAGAGTCTCGCTCTGTCGCCCAGGCTGGGGCGCAGTGGTGCGATCTCGGCTCACTGCAACCTCCACCTCCCAGGTTCAAGCGATTCTCCTGCCTCAGCCTCCCGAGTAGCTGAGACTATTCGGCTATTTTTTTTTTTTTATTTTTAGTAGGGACAGGGTTTCACCATGTTGACCAGGCTGGTCTTGAACTCCTGACCTCAGGCGATCCCCCTGCCTCGACCTCCCAAAGTGCTGGGATTACAAGCGTGAGCCATGGTGCCTGGCCAAATATTTATACTGGCCTTCATAATTTGAAAATCTTGCTACTCGTTTTTTTGGTTTTGTTTTGTTTTTTCCTCATACGGTCAGTGAATACCCACGCCCATAGACATGCATACATAAACATATGGCACTAGACTGCCATCAGCACGGCAGGTATAAACTCAGAGTTTTCTGATAAAGGAAAAACAGATCTTTCCCGTTGGTGTCCAGTTGCTGCCTGGTGAGCTGAGGGTGGCAGAACTATAAATCTACAGGTGGTGGCAAAGAGACAGCATAAAGAGCAGGATTCAGGTATGGGTGAGCCTCAAAGGATTAGGGTCTTTTTATACGGTGTGTGTAGTGGGAAGTATCGTTTGTTTACCTCATGACCACGAGGGGACTGTGTGGGATAGGAAAAGGAACAGCCATGTCTACTTAGAGGGCTTCTGGAAAGCATGGTTCCCAGCAGAAAGCCAGGTTTCCATTAAAATAAGAACATGCTGTGAGTAAGTTCAGGACGCAGGAGAATTTCAGAACAGACGAATTGGAATGTGCATGAGAAAGTCTAGGAATGGCCAGGCGCCGTGGCTCACGCCTGTAATCCTAGAACTTTGGGAGGCCGAGGTGGGTGGATCACCTGAGGTCAGGAGTTCAAGACCAGCCTGGCCATCATGGTGAAACCCCATCTTTAAAAAAAAAAAACTAAAAAAAGAATTAAAAAAAAAAAAAAGTGTGGGAATGGGGCAACATTTGCTCCAGCAAGTCAAGGATTATTTTTGACGAGGATATCATTCTTGCAGTAACCCATTTTTTCAAAACCAGGGATGATTTTCCTCTAGGTTTGTTACTTTTCCACTGTCGCCACTAAGGCTCTCATGCCATTTTTTTTTCTGCCCAAAATTCTCTTGAGAATTTTCTTTAGTTTATAAGCTTGACATTTTATCATCCAAGAAGTGGATAATCCAATCCGGGTCACCAGTATTTCCTCGTGTAGAGTATACAGATGTTTGTTAATTCCAGCCCCCTTTGTTTCTCTAACCAGAAGTATCTGTAGGACACTGCTCTTTGTGTTTTGTTTGCTTTTTAATTTGAAATTGTATTGAGATTATTATAGAATCACATGCAGTTGTAAGAAATAATAGAGATCCCCTGTATACTCTTCCAGTTCCCCACAATGGTAACATTTTGCAGAACTTAAGTATAATGTCATAACCAGGATATTGACATCAACACAACCTACTCCTCTTATTTAGATTTCTCCAATTTAACTGTACTTTTCTTTTGATTTATCATGTGTTGGTTTGTGTATCCACAACCATCAAGATACCAAATACTGGCCGGGCACAGTGGCTCATCCACACCTATAATGCCAGCATTTTGGGATGTCGAGGTGGGCAGATCACTTGAGGCCAGGAGTTCAAGACCAGCCTGGCCAAGATAGCGAAACCCTGTCTCTAGTAAAAATAATAAAAATTAGCCAGGCATGATGGTGGACACCTGTAATCCCTGTTACTTGGGAGGCTGAGGCATGAGAATCACTTGACCTCAGGAGGTAGAGGTTGTAGTGAGCTGAGACTGTACCACTGCCCTCCAGCCTGAGGGACAGAGTGAGACTCTGTCTCAAAAAAAAAAAAAAAAGAGGCCAGGCGCGGTGGCTCAAGCCTGTAATCCCAGCACTTTGGGAGGCCGAGGCAGGTGGATCACGAGGTCAAGAGATCGAGACCATCCTGGTCAACATGGTGAAACCCCGTCTCTACTAAAAATATTAAAAAATTAGCCAAGCAGGGTGGCACACGCCTGTAATCCCAGCTACACAGGAGGCTAAGGCAGAAGAATCGCTTGAACCTGGGAGGCAGAGGTTGCGTTGATCCAAGATTGCACCACTGCACCCCAGCCTGGGCAACAAGAGCGAAACTCTGTCTCAAAATAAATAAATAAAGAGGCCGGGCGCAGTGGCTCAAGCCTGTAATCCCAGCACTTTGGGAGGCCGAGGAGGGTGGATCACGAGGTCAAGAGATCGAGACCATCCTGGTCAACATGGTGAAACCCTGTCTCTACTAAAACTACAAACAATTAGCTGGGCATGGTGGCGCGTGCCTGTAGTCCCAGCTACTCAGGAGGCTGAGGCAGGAGAATTGCCTGAACCCAGGAGGCGGAGGTTGCGGTGAGCCGAGATCGCGCCATTGCACTCCAGCCTGGGTAACAAGAGCGAAACTCCGTCTCAAAAAAAAAAATAAATAAAAATAAATAAATAATAAGGGGGGGGAAAAAGAAAGTAGGACCAGGAGTGGTGGCTCAGACCTGTAATCCCAGCACTTTGGGAAGCTGAGGTGGATGGATCACATGAGGTCAGGAGTTGAGAGCAGTCTGGCCAACGTGGTGAAACTCTGTCTCTACTAAAAACACAAAAAATTAGCCAGCCGTGGTGGCATGCACCTATAATCCCAGCTGCTTGGGAGGCTGAGGCAGAAGAATGCTTGAACACGGGAGGCGGAGGTTGCAGTGAGCCGAGATCACCCCACTGCACTCCAGCCTGGGCGACAGACTGAGACTCTATCTCAAAAAGTATATATATATATATATATATATATACACACACACATATACATATATTTATAAATATATATATATAATAAAATTTAAAAGTCATAAAATTTTAAAATAATCTAATATAGCAGTAAAATAAATGAAGCAAAAATTGTTAGCAACATAAGACCAGCTCTATTAGAAGATAACAAAATGGGAAAATCTCTTTTCCCCTAAAACACAACAGAATAAATAAGAAGCCCCAAACTAAAGCTACAGAACTGAACAGCACCATTAAATAACCTTACTTAAATTTTAAAAATAAATAAAATTTAATATTTTAAGATACAACAGAGATCCCATATTCAAATGTCTATGAAGCTCTGACAAAACCAATCATTTATTAGGCCATGAAGAAAATTCCAACTTCCAAAAAGGCCTTATTCCTGGACTACCACCATAAATCCAAAACTTAGCAATCAAAACATAAAACCACCCTCTAACCCCTGAGAAGCTGAGTACTAATAACTGGATTTGGAGGTTAAAGTAGCAACCGAGAGATTAGAAAATTATCAAACATTACATAAACATAGAAAAATACAAACTACTGATTCTTTTTTTTTTTTGAGACGGAGTTTCGCTCGTTACCCAGGCTGGAGTGCGATGGCGTGATCTCGGCTCACCGCAACCTCCGCCTCCTGGGTTCAGGCAATTCTCCTGCCTCAGCCTCCTGAGTAGCTGGGATTACAGGCACGCGCCACCAAGCCCAGCTAATTTTTTGTATTTTTAGTAGAGACAGGGTTTCACCATGTTGACCAGGATGGTCTCGATCTCTTGACCTCGTGATCCACTCGCCTCAGCCTCCCAAAGTGCTGGGATTACAGGCTTGAGCCACCGTGCCCGGCTAAACTACTGGTTCTTAAAGGAAATTCTCAAACCTCTAGGAAGTCTGATCAAAGAGCAAATAAATATATAACATTAGGAATGAGAAAGTGGATATAATCACAAGTGGTAAAGAGATTTTTAAAAATAAGAGATGATTAAATTTGCCAATTAAATTTTAAAATCTAGGTGAAATGAATGATTTCTGAGGAAAATACAAATTACTAAATTTGATTCAAGAAGTGGTGGAAAACCTTTCTATACCAATAACCATAGAAATAATTAAATGGGCAATACATGCTTTATCCCCAAAAAGATAAAGACCTAAACAGTTTTATTAATAAGGTCCAATAAGAACTATAAGGGCATTCTCAATTCATGTTATTTAAAGTATTCCAGGGCATTAAAAAACATAACAATACATTTTTTTCCAATACATTTCCCAAGAAAACAAATCCCTGATACCAAAACAAAATTAAGATAACATGAGAAGCTGGTCTCGGTGACTCACACCTGTAATCCCAGCCCTTTGGGAGCCTGAGGCGGGTGGATTACTTGAGGCCAGGAATTCGAGACCAGCCTGGCCAAAGTGGTGAAAACTGGTCTCTACTAAAAATACAAAAATTAGCCAGGCGTTCTGAGGGGTACCTATAGTCTCAACTATTCGAACGGCTGACGCAGGAGAATCACTTGAACTCTGCAGGGAGAGGCTGCAGTGAGTTGAGATCATGCCACTGCATTCCAGCCTG